TTAGTTAGATTGTATACTTTGCTTTGCTTTTTGCAAGTGATAATAGCACAAAACGGCATTTTTTATAGAAAAAATCTGTAAAATCACCACTCGACGATTGACAAACGACTGGCAAACATAAAACCGAGGAAAGGGCGTCATATGAGTAAAAGCGCATATGCCAGCGACGCGTGCCCCGCCCACTTACTACTTCTATTCTCTCTCTATGTTCTGTGGTTATGTAGCTTCCCTTAGTTAGATAAAAGACTTATAAATCGGTCCAATTGTTTCGGAGCCTATACAATGCAAACAAACAAGCAATCAAATCTTTCCTCTTTATATATTTATTGAAAAAAAATATGTCGAGCAAATAAACATCTTTTTATTACATTTGATCATTTTTGCATTCACAATGCTATGCTAAAAACATTCTTCAAGTCGATCAACCTTATATTGTTGATGTAAAAATTTTGTAAAAATAAACGTTTTATATGAGCGAAAAAACAAAAGATTGCGTAAATTCAAAATCCGAAAGGAAGGTATATTCATCATTTTCTTTAATCCACATATTAAGAGAGGTACATGTACAGGGGCCTAATTCTACTAAATAAATTTTATTCAAATCGAATTAAAAACGGAACGAAACTGCATAGGTCTACGCATTCATAATCACCCAACCTATGACAGATCATTGCGACAGTTAAGACGAATAAAAGTGAATTAAGGTCTTATAGATAAAATGTTGATGAAAATACGCTCCTTAGTAGTGAAAGATTATTAGCGTAGTACTCGAAAGATTCGGAGTCTTGTTAGGTCTGCGAAAGCTCAATTGGAATTGCGCTCGCCCGGACAGTTAGGGGTCGTCGGTTCGAATCCGCTCAGGTAGCCGAGACGGTTGAAGTATTTCTTTTAAATACATATACGTTCCCCGTGACAAATTATAGCCTATGTCCCGAATATTATGTAGATTTCCTGTAGATCAGTTTTATAATCGGCCCAACAGTTTTAGAGCCTATCCAATACAAACAAACTAACAATCTTTCCTCTTTATACGAGTATAGTTTTTGGAAAAAATCTCCTTTCCATATGCTCACTACATATGTAGACATATTTTTTATATAGATATTTAATATTTTTAGTGGATATTCGCAGTATGTGAAATGATTCAATGTTTTAAGAACACATGCTAAATAAAAAGATTTGATATTTTAAAAAATGTGATTCCGTCAGACAGACATAGGCCCAGTAGCGCCAGACTATTACATTATCTATAAAAAGATTTACTTTGGCTATTTATAGCCACTATATTCGATATATAAAGGACTTAAGATGACCAGAAAAGTTTTTGGAATTCATTATAAATACAGAGATCTATCTAACTGTGGTCACAGCTGTGGTGCTGCCAGAATGACGTCAACCCAACAGCGCCAGAATCGTCGAATGGATTAAGGATTGGGTGGCGCTGCCAGCCTGATACAATTTGCCGCAATTAAAGTTTATAATGAGGAATAACATAATTCTCATTTTGTTATAAAGCTCAAAATCTAATATTAATAAAAGGTAAATCTGCCAAAATTATAGTGTCATTTGGTAAATTTAATTAATTTGGTGATTGGTAAAATAGCTTCTTCATATCAAAGGTTCTGTATCGGCCGACTGGCAATCGAACCTAAAATCACTCTTTGACAGCAGATAAAAAAAAGAAAAAATAAAAAAGTAAGGCCAAGGTTTATGTCTATTGCAATAAATAAAACACAAAATTAAGAATCATTTATAAATATTCGTAAATATAGGTCGAATGTGGTACAATTAAAATCAGAGGAATATTTTCATTAATTTCATATCAAAAAAGGAAACATCTAAGCAGTATTTTCTACACTTTATCATTATATTACGAACTGTAATAACTACTGTATAGGAACTTGAGCTTATTAGGGAGAGGGTGCTGTTGCAAAATATGCAATTCATTGAACCAGAAGATCAAATAAAAGCACCCTATCTCTAATACAAGATTCAATATGAATCTTTAAGCTCTATTAAATAAACTGAACCAAACACTAATTTTAAATGCAATGTAAATTGTTTGTCTTGTTACACCATTATCGCGATGCACAAAAATAGAAGAGTATCTGAAAACTTAATAGGTGCGATACAGTGTAGAAAATGGAATTCTAGTTAAGAAACATAAAACCAGTAAAACATAAAAGCAAAAAAGAATTTTAAACCGATGTCATAAACATAACATTAACAAGTCAGTCAGTTTTAGACAAAACAAAATGACAGAACACAATATTTTTCTCTGTTGTGGTAGTTTAGTAAATTTATCTTAATTTTATAATTTCACTGTCGCTCAATAATCGTTTAGTTTTATTGGTTTTAGGCAAGGGTTGTTTTTGAGTAGACGCTTGACCAAGCATGCAGATGATATCCTTTACAAACTAATCAATAAGAAATAACCATTCTAATACTTTAAGATATAAATAATAACACATTTTAAACAATTTAACTTGCTTTCTTTGACTTAAAATCTCTTATAACTATTTGACTACACTAATAGTATAATTAAGTCCGTTATGTTACATTGTTAATTATTCTATACTGACGTAATGTAAAAGGCGGTAGGCAGACAACTCCTTAGATCTATGGACTCAGGAACAGAGTGTAAACGTGTGTTCCAGGGAATACTTTAAAGCTTTCAATCAGACATATCATCTATTTACACTTAGGAAATAAGATGCAAGTTTTATTATTTGTTCAGTAGTAAACATAAATAGTCTGCAGTATAAGATTTTATCTTAAATACTTAATCAACATTAAAATTTGAGGACAACAGATTTTCATCATGTCCAAATTGTTAGAAATATTTAAAAGAGGTAATATCATCGCAACCATTGTATTCTTATGAATGGAATTTTAATTGTGAGTTCTATAAACATTTTTACTAATATGATATTGAGACTTTCCAAAAACAAGAGTACCAATGCTATCATGATGGTTATTTAAGTTTTATTCAAAATTATCAAATTTAAATAATTATTATTTAATTAATTATTATTATATTAATTATAACATGTAAAATTGATTCATGATCTACAGCAATACTATAGTTGTGGCGATATTGGTCTATCTAGACATTTCTAACTCATAAAATTATATAACAAAATATTAACAGATCATAAGGCGAATTACAAAAATGACGATTTTAATGAGAATTTATATCGTCACTTTTATAAGGTTACATTCGCCCACTTGGACATTCTGAAATCAAGTGTTTGTAATACATAATATTAGGCTCGCTCATGTTAAATAGGTGATATTGAGATTAAAACCCTAAATTTAATTGTTATTATTTCATTAATGTGATAGAAAAATGCAAAATAAATAGCACAATGTTTGCATCACACCATGACATACCTAATACTAATTCAACAAATCTAACAGGCCCAGAGGTATTCAAGCTGTTGTATCGTTATATATTTAAAACCAGATAATAATGTTCTATTGCATCAGGACGATTGACAACTGTTTGCATATTAATAATTGTCACAAATGAATCTCTGTGAGCCTATCGGATTTTGTATCATCTTACATACATAAGTATATAACATCGTACATACACATAAATAATTACTTTAACGTAACACACGCACACACACTTACACTACCAATTATGGTGGCTCACCTAGCGTAACTTAGTAATGAATAAATGATCAGTCTTAAAAATGTATGATCCCAAGTGAATCGCTACCATTGCGACACTGACTCTGTATAAAAGGCATGGCTTAATCCACTCTGTTGCTGAGTCAACTTAAAACAATTACATTTAAAACTTATGAGAGACAAAAATATTAACAAAAAGCATGGCTGGTAAGTTTTAACAAAAATACAGCACATTAGAGCGAACAATAATTAAATCAGTGTTTATAATTACATTATCTAATTAATGGATTAACGACAAATCCATATATCTAAAATTTCTAAATAGTGAAGATAGTCACTATCTCAAAATTTCAAGGACTGATGATCACATCATCATTTTGACTTAATATTTTACCTATGCCTCATTGGTTCAACATTTGAACGACTCGTCCGCGACTTTTACATGCGGAGCTATATACGGCGTGAAGTATGTATAAACTATTTAAACGACAATGAGACCTATATATTAGTAAAAGATTTTATGAAGATGCTTAAGCAATACATAATTATACTATTCAGTTTTTATTTCAAACTCATTTAGTAATTAACTATATTCACATACATATCCATTATTATGGAATGATCTAAATCCTGATTTCTATCAATTATGAGTAATATTAAATTGCCAATAATTTTCTAATGTCAAGTATGATTAATAAGCATAAATATTCACTGGAAATTTTAGTAACAACAAATCAAGCAGAAACTGGTTTAATAATAATAATTCTAAATTATATGACAGTTTCTTCCATCGGCAACTTCTAAGAAATTCCCTATATGAGAATTTATGGAACATTTAAAAACATAATTATATTTAATACAAAATATTAAATAAATGTACAATGTCGTCTTGCGGCCGCATGCCCAAACTCAAAGATATTGATTCCTACTATCCGATATTTGACTAAAACCCAATGAGGAAGATTATATTATAATATAATACAATCACTTGAAGTGTATTGCTGCCATATTCATTTCAAACAACAATCTCATTATGAATTGCTTTAATGACATCAATGTTCTATGCTTTATTTAACAGATATTACAAAAAATATCACAAACTTTAAGTTTACACAAGAAATTTTACTATTATAACTTTCAACCGGTTCCATCTTTACCAAAGACATCAAAAACATTATTGGCACGCGGCACACTCCATACAATCTCAACTAATCTTACTAGAGTCAGTCGATCTCAATCATTCGACCAATCGCATTCCACGCAACAAACTAACCTTACATTAAAATAATTCAATTTGAGACTAAACTAAGCACAGCGCCGAGCAACATACGCGACAATGCATTCGGTTACTTTTTTATCTTCCTCGATTTCCGACGCAGCGTAAAAAATAAACAAAAACGCAGACTTATCGATTCGTCACTTTGGAAAAGACAACTAAACAATTAAAGTTAAAACTATATTCGAGGAGGGTCAGGAGAGCTCACTCCACCAGGACTTACGCAAGCAGAGTGTCCAAAATATGCTCAGTGCAATCACGAATGCTTCACTACAATAACGCCGGGCCGCACTGGCGCGCGGTCCTTTTTAGTTAAAGCCAGCGGCGCCTCTCCCGCCTCTTCTCTATCACGGAACAGGTGATCACCTTCCAGGTGACGTATCGCTTCTACAATAGTTTCCAAATTTTGCCGACTTGTATTCGGATTGTAAAGACGTGAAGGCGGTTCATGATTGGCGTCAGCAATCATTTCCACTTCCACGCGCGGCTCTGCTTTGATGGCAGCTTCTAAAATTGGCGCATTTGTTGGGGTCTCGACAGCCGCTATGGCTGAGACTGCTATCACTTCTGTTTCATCTTTTTCTATTTTACACTCTGCAACATTGGTTTGCTCATAATGAATCACAGGATGCGGATGCTGCTCTCTACCCTCAGGATACATCTGTGTTTCCAATTTATGTAAGCGTTCTTCTAAAAGTCGCCGTAGAAGCCGTTCCCTCTCTAACTGGATGCGTAAATCACTACCTTCAGTTTCCTTCTTTTGTGGTACACTTGAGACTGTTATGACAGCCACAGGCTCAGGAGACCTTGAGTTGGTAACAGTATCTTCAGTAGAATCCGGTATTATTGTGGGCACATGAGTTAGTGCTTCACTTTTCCTTTTCTTTAATGGAATTTCACCACCTTCATGTTGATTGAGTAATCTTTTCAACTGACAATTTTGAGATAGTAGTCTTGTTTTCTCCTGTTCTAAGGAATAAATATATTCAGCCGTCTGCTGCAATATGGCAGCCTGTAAAAAGAAAATTAAACATTCTTTCATTGTAATTTTTAAGTTGTATTTTTTTACTATTTTATATAAGTAATAAGAGAATATGATCTAAATTACCTTGCTCAATTTTTCGCCTTCATGTCGTGGAAGTAAAGTTCGTAGTGCTTGAAAGCCTGCATTGATGCTTTGCATGCGTCTTCGTTCATTGCTATTGGCGATCTCGCGACGAATCCTTTTCTCTGCCTCCATAGTTTTGTTTCCTGAAGAATTATGCTTTTCACTCCTGTAAAAAGAGTCCTCTTTTTTAATAATATGAACTAAATAGGCTGATGATCATGTATAATATTAGAGCTACATCTCGAAATCAAGCAGTATATTATGTAATAAATAATGAGTTTCTAAAGACATTTATAGAAATAGACATGTTAATATGAAATAAACCATTTCATTAGTAATTATTTATATTTTCAGAGGATTATAAAAACAACCTCATTAGTTATTTCATTCTTAATGTCCAACTTTTTATATATATATATCAGTTAAAATTATTATGAATTTGGCAATTGTAAAATCAAGCCTTATCAAAAATAATGTCAATTTGAGACATTTCTGCACTGTAATTTTAGCAAGTTAAAAAATTTAGAATGACTTTTATTTATATAAAAAATTAAATATATGTCCACTTTTTTTTCTGTAGTTATTATTAGTTAGTCAAGTATTAATTGTTAAATATATTAACCGGTGTCATGGTGTGATTGTAACTATGTAATCAATTTAAAAATATATGGAAATATCAAAAATAAAAATTCAGCTTTTTATTCAATATGTATTTAAATTAGCTAGAATGATATTACATTGCCTTTTTCTAGTTAGACAGCTTTATTTAGAATTATTTATGGTGACAATTAGAATAAAGTTTTTAACTTTACTCAATGTTATAAAATATTTATATTTTGTTATAAATTTTGAGTTTCTCTTTTTAAGTAGATCTAGTTCTATTGGAATTTCATTCCACAAAAATTAAAGACATAAAAGTAAGTATATGTACCACCAGTAAATTATTATGATTAGTTATTATTTATAGTTATGTAATTTTCATATATTACTATGAACAATTATTATTATTAATATAATTACTAAATAATCAGTTATATAGTAAAACTACTTATTACAAAACAAACCATGAACCATTCAATCAAATTCAATGCATGTATGACCAAGGCATAAATGATAATATTGAATATTTGTAATTATTTTGTTATATTGTGTTATATTTAACTATATTTACTTAAGGATCTGAATCAAATGCCCTTTATAATTCTGTTTAAGTGAATTTAAATTTCAGACTATTAAAATTCTCATTCTTAGCTAAGCAACTTATCAATTTATTACTATACACAGAAAAATAGCTTGAGGTATAAAACATCAATATTTTATTGACTAATAGGACTGCCATCAATTTACCATATACATAGGTACGTACTTAGATATTTAAATAGAAAAACTAATTTTCATCTAGTGATAAAATTTTAAGAAGCATATTTATCAAAAATTGTAACATGTGTTATGTAGTACGGCATCATTATAATTTCGACATGTGTAGGAGCGCCTACTACGCCTATTTCATTTGCCAAACATGGCGGCCCAACAGCTGACTATAGACCGGCACGAAGCGTGAGCGTCATCATATGGTCGGCAATATCGTTTATTTGCATAGAAAACAACTTTACAAAATAAATATAGATTGGGAAACGAAATTGAATATTGAATTATAACTGGATTTGCATTGTAGAGAAAAGAGTTAACAAGAACCACGCCGGGTTTCCATACCTGGTAAAAGCGTGATCTGATGCCTCCTCTTCGTATAAATTGAAATCTTCCACTTCTAGCAAGCAAACATCATTACCGTGCAATGACATAACTCAGGTTCATGTAATATTAGTTTCTAATAATTCTTCATCAAAAACAATCAGTAACTTGAATAAATTTTACCAATACAAGTCCACAAGAATCACAATGGCGGGAAATGACAATGAGTTCGGTCAGGTGACGCTTTATCAATTTAACACAAATCAAGACCACCTTAAGCAATTTTCACTGTTTATTACACATATCACTGATAAATAAATCCACTGAAAACAATTTTCATTTACAATATGAAATATTTTTTTAAAAACAGCAATTATAAAATAGGAGGGAGTCAAGGGCAACGCGACATCGATGAACTAGCGATGAACACAACCATAGATTAACAGTATGTCAGTGATGCGTTTAAGTTGGGTACTCTATGGTTAAACAGTGTCAAAAAGACGGAGTTTAGGATTTGTGTTCTTTTATTTCTAATTTATAACATTTCCTTAGCGATATTTCTATAAAAATTTAGATAATTTAAAAGTTAGAAAAATTACGATGTCAAAACTTGTGATAAACATGGCTCTATTCTTCACAATTGCTGAAATAGGTGGTCCACATGATTGCTAACCAACCTCTTTATTCTTTAATTCTCAATATATGTCAGCATCAGTACAGGTTTGTAATGAAGATCAAAAAGCGGAGCGCAGAATTCACCTTTCTTTATGTGCAGTATTTCTATACGTGGCATTATGCATCCACACGTCGAATATTATTAATACAAATATCCAAATTAGTTCAGTCTAAGTTGTTACATAGAACATGTGAAAGACATAAACTATGCCAATGGTTTGCAAAACTACAGCGGGAGACCTTGTACTGAGAAGAACTGGCAAGAAACAGAGCAAGGGCTGCGTTTTCTCCCTGTTTTATTTCACACAGAGAAGTCTTATTGGAATATGACTTATTTAGACTATGACGTTACTTTTCTTTCATTAAATTCTCAGAAAAAACAAGACAGATGTTTTTCGAAATACTCATTGACAAATCAACATACAATATTCATAATAAAAAAAAAATGTTGGAATTAAGTAGTAAGTACATTACAGACTCATCCCCACAGCAGCACCCGTCGAGCTTGACGCATGAGCCACCCATCGGAACTAATGTTTTTTTTAAATACTTTCTCATTGACATTGAGATCCTAAAATTTATACTGCCATCTAGTGACACACAATTTTGTGGTTTCTTTATTTTTTTTAATACTTCCTCATTGAATCGATACTTAAAGGTCAAAGAAATTAGTCTAATTATTATATAATTGAACAAGGCACATAACATTATTTTCTACCTTGAGGTAGGCGTTAATAATTGCAATTCAGTTTTCTAACTACCATGACTATTATCGCACACAATAATCTTGTTAAATTTATTATTCCAATAAATATATTTTTATTATTATTACTGAAAGACACATTTTACTATACAATTGATATAATTATTTTGTTTACCTCAAATGTCACTTTCCTCGGGTCGAGCAAGGTGTAGAAAAAACGTTTTCGAGTTTATCATGCTCACATGCTGACTCGAAACTCGATACTCGTCGCGCTACCTCGCCGACGTCGCTCTATAACATAACTGATAAATAAATTAAAATTTTTGTTTATAAAATTAAATGACCGTTCCATTAACGAGAGAGCAAAACGCTAGTGATCTGTGAAATTTGCGATGTGAGCTTTGATATTTTTAAGTGCCGAGATATGGACGTAAGAATTCATGGTGCGATAAGAACACAGTTAAATAGGTAAATAAATTCTATGTTATTGTGTAAATAAAGACACTTTTAATGAGATAATACTTAAAAAAATAAACTACTTAAATAAATGCCACTAGATGGCAGTACTATTTCCACCACATTTTTGTCTTGTATTAACACAAAACGATGACGTCTAAATTAAAGAACGAAAATCATTTTCCTTGATTAAAAAAAGATAAATATCAAGTAATATATTTTTTTTATATATATTTACAAAAAAGTGTTTTATAGTAAAATATACAATAAAGACAATTAAGATAACAATATTTATTTTAAGGTGATTAAGTAATTTACGTACGAAGTCGATCGATAGTCGATCCCGAGGAGTGCATCGTAATGGCACTTCTATTGGCCCGGAAAAAGTTTATTTTTCATACAAAATGAAAAAATATAAATAAGGCAAAACAGCGCCATCTAGAGATCTGAAATAAATGAAAAAGACTGCTGTTTAGGACTAATCTGACAGAGGCAGAAATGTTTCAGCTTTGTTAACCGACACGCCATTACACCAAGAAGCATCCTTTTGCGCTTAGAATGCAACAATACCAAATAGATATAGATGCTTTTCCTCGATACTGTATCAGTCAAGAGGTATCGTTACCTATTCCACACATTCGTCGTCGTTTTTATATTTTTTAAGAGCAGATTTGATACTACTGAAAGCCTAAAGGAGCGGAAAGAAGCAAAGAGAGAAGAGAAGCAGGTCTAGACAATTAAAGTGATGCATATAGGTAGAAACATCTTTAACTACATAAAATTAGTATAGGTGTACTAAAAACTAGATCAACTACTATAACGAGATGGCACAAAAACAAATGATATTATAATTATACAAGATATTATAATATATCCTAGTGAGATATGAAGTACAGAGGCTATTTGTCCCTTTCTAATAGGGCGACAATAACATTTTAATTAAGTGAGACTTTTCATCTTTATAATAAATCTTGTTAAGCTTTTTGTTACAATAAATATATATTTATTATTTATTTTATATGCTTATAGACTTTTGTGCGATTGCATAATCTGTCAATATTGATCACAAATCTCCTCTTCATTAATTGTATGAAGGCTCGACCGGTTCAATCTTCTTTTGCGCAATGTCACATGCACGGGTATACTAATATTAAATCATCAAAATATATTAAGCTTGACAAAAAAATATGGCGATATCCCTCCTATATATATAAGTGAATAGTTCGATGGTGTAGTGGTTAGCGTGTTTGATCAGCAATTGCGAAGGTTAAGTGACGATCTAAAAGGCCGGTAATATAATGAGTCATCAAAATTCTTTTCAGGACGATTTAGGACAACCACGTTGTCCCAGTGTACAACTAGGTAGATTGACTTCATCCATTAAGAATATCTGTGCTTTAGCAATACCAATCCGAACTGGGGCCTCCATGTGGGCTACTGGGTGGTTAGTAGTTAGGAATACTGGGTGGATTGGTTTCTTCTATGTTTTACAACACCAATCCGCATTGGGACTTACACTCGGGCCTAATGAGGAAGGCCTAATGATTAGCGCGTTTGATCCTCGAGTTGGATGGGTGACCAAAGAACATGTTACTTAATACACGTCATTTAGTGAAGAAATATTATTGATTCCATTATTTTGTATAAAAATACAAAACAAATTGGTTGATTATACGTGTCTTAGATATTCTAATTCTATGTCAATTCGAAACTCACTTCACTTATGCTACGAAACATTATTACCGATTCAAGATTGAGGTGATGCCGTTTTTGAAGTGGATTTGAACACCTAAGTGAGTTCGTGTTCAGATTTGATTTTTTACAGAATCGCAGGGCTGATCTTAGTTTAAAAATGTGGCGACTGATACGTAGCGATATCTAACACATCGCACACATGTATGTTAAATGCTATGAGGCAGTTATTGAAAAGTATTTAATAAATTAAAAATATTACAAGTATCAAGACGTCTTTATGCATTTTACCTAATATTGCCTTCTACAAATTATATTTTTTTCGATTTGCTATCAGATGCTAGTACATCTGCAGGGGTTAATAAAGCTTCGTCATACGACAGGGACGCCGCATCTGGGGGACTCTTTCATAAAACACGCTTTAGATAACTTTTTTCAGATCAAACCCGCACGTGAGTTTTTTAGCTCTCCTCAGTGAGTGACCGACCGTATACCGATACAAATATGTTAATAAAACAAAATTGTTGTAAGTAAACAAAATATTGATAACATCTAATTTTTTTATTGTACTTTATTTTAATCAATGAATTTTCGTACTTAGTTAAAAGCTTAGGTTTGTCTGGACTCAATATAATAAAGTTTAACTTTGAAAAGCTTTTACGCTTATTTAGAATAGCAAGCTTAATTAAGTGCTTTTCGTTTAAACGTCCATCTCTAATAAAGAGTAAAGTAAATAAAAAGTAAGAAAAATAATTTTATTCGCTTGAAAAATAATTTAAATAATTTTTTTGTGGAATATTAATATTTAATTTTTCACTACCAAATGTGATACAAACGCGTTCTATGCGCTTCGACTCGACTGGGGTCGCGCGCCTCTGATAGACGGCAGGCTTTATGAAAACTAATAGGAAACCATAGAGTTTTATGTAACAATGAAGGAACAGAGAGCGAGAATTTATTCAAAGCTTTATGTTGGTCATTGTTAGTATTTAAATTATGGCACTATTGAAGCGTCTCGGCCAAAGTGACCAATCACGAAATAATTCTCAATTTTGAATTTGTTCGAGGAGGGGATTCGGTCGGTCGTGCCGCCATATTGTATCGAGCTGTTAGTGCATGAAGTGAAAATTTCACGATTTGTGGTGTACTTTTCTTGACTTCATAATTCGGATTGAAATTCCCTAAGGTAAGTTTAAAATAAATGTAAGTTTTTGTCATAAACATCATCATCGGATTGTAAGTTATATTTTAAAGTCTATGTGCCGGCCGTTCAAGTATAGAAAAAGTTATCGAAACGTTCTCTAAAAATCCATACCAGCTACTGGAACCATGTTCTACAGTGGAAAGTACCTACGATAAATTTTTACTTAAAGTCAGACATATTATTCCTAGTGTTAGTGTTTTTACTATTAATTTACATGTATAAAATTCTATTGTTTCAATTCACTTTCGGTAAGTTCGTGATTGTGTTCGTTAGTGGTTGTTATTCTAGAAGTGTTAGGTATAATAAAAATTAAATTACCTCCGCTTGAGTATCGAAATATCCGTTTTGTACGAGGCATTTTATTACAACCACAATTTCCGATATATTGTAAGAGGAATATACTCTTACTGGTTTCTTTGTGATAACGATGATTCATCAAACTGGGGAGAGACAAGGGTGTCGCGTATATACTATTGTCACGATTTGGCCGCTTTAGGTCACTGTATTACAGTTTTAATTTTATTGTATAAATAATAAGGTTGCAGGAAGTCGATTGCATATTAGATGAAAATATGTATCAGTATTTAGAACGAAGCCATATCTGCCCTTTAATCAATCATTTACAGAATGTAGAATATTTTCATTTAACACTCATACTTAATTTTTTACAAAATTACAGT